CCCCGCTCAACCTTCTACCTGGAAGTGTTCCATGACCAGCTGCCCCCAGCCCAAGGCTGGGACAGGTGCCCATCTCATGGCTGCCACAGCCCCTGTGCTTCCTGCCAGCACACAGCCTGTGATCTAAGTGCCCATTGCCCTGTGTCTCCCCCGCCAGCCTGGAAAAGCCCTGGGAGTAAGGCTTCTGTCCTCGGACTCAGTCCTCACCGTGCAGCCCCACTGTCTGGCACATGGCAGGCACTCCATACGTGTTTGACGAATAAACGAATGCACCATATTAATTGATCAGAGTATTAGAACTGCCAAGAAGCCCAAAACTGCCTCCTTCTGTTTTACACCAAAAATGAGTTCACCAGAAACTCTCCCACAAAATGACTTCTCCTGGTCTGCGTTGGCATTTGTCACAGAACCCATTCACCTCACACAAAGGCAGTAAGACAGGCATCAGGCCAGACCAGGCACTCAGGACACATCCCCGACACAGCCCCACCTCGCTGTTCACTGCCCCCATCCCAGCCCGACCCCAGGGAGGTGGGCAGAGAGCGTAAGCAGAGAAATATAGGTTCAGGGTGGAGGCAGGCTCAAGAAACATCTGTCTAAACACTGTTTTGTTCATTCCAGCAAAGCTGAACTACAAAATCATTCCTCTCACTTTCCAGGGGAGAAATTGAGGTACGGACAGGTTAAGTGGCTGTCCCAAGGAAACAGATCAAATTAACAGAAGCGAAAAAATAGCTCCCTAATGTCCCAGAAATTTCACCCCAAAGCCCAGACTGCAGCCTGGATTGTCAGCCCAGGATTCTGGGTCTCCACAGCACAAAGCTCCCCGCCCCCTTCTTTCTTTCTTTTAAATATCATGGGTGAGGAGGAAGCACCGGATCTGAAGGTTTATTTACCATTCCTTAGCCTGACCTTCCAGGAAGAATGTCACTAATGAGAAACAATCTCCTTGGGCTCCCAAACCCAGAATTTTCATAGGGATCAATTTAGGATTTCAGAGTCTAAACAGGACAAGGGCAATACCAACTCTCTTCCCTTGGAGAAAAAAAAAAAAAAAAAGCAACTGAGTCTTTCCTGTCTGGAAGGAAGTTTTGTGTATGTCAGATCCGAGGTGACATCTTTCCCGTTGTCCCGACCCCTTTCAGATATCCACTGCAGCAAAAGGGAGGAGCCTTCGCCGTCCTGCGGTGTAGGCTGAGGGAAGTCAAAAATGAAAGAAAGTAGGAGTTGGGGCTGCTTCCCTGATTCTAGAACCAACCTCACAGGTGAGGCTAGATGCCAGGAACTCTGCTCTCGAGACCAGATTCCACCCTAATTCACATCCCAATGCTGATTTTGTCGTGGTGGAGGAGACATTTCCACTCCAGCAAAGTGTCTGCTCCACGAAGCCCGGAGGCACACCTAGTACCTCAGTGCCGGCACACTGTGCCTGTCACATAGTAGGTCCTCCTAGTGAATGAATGAATGAATGAATGAATGAATGAATGAAGCAACTGGCTGGTGCAAAACAGTTGCCTAGACACAGTCAGTTAGTACCATTTTTATTTTTTTTATTTTTATTTTTAAGATTTTATTTATTTATTTGAGAGACAGAATGAGAGAGAAAGCACATGAGATGGGGGGAGGGTCAGAGGGAGAAGCAGACTCCCTGCTGAGCAGGGAGCCCGATGCTGGACTCCATCCTGGGACTCCAGGATCATGACCTGAGCCGAAAGGCAGTCGCTTAACCAACTGAGCCACCCAGGCGCCCAGTACCATTTTTATTTTAAAGGTAGTGTTTCTCAGCAGGTGGGAAGTTAGTTGTTGTTGCTGTTTTTTAAGGTTTTTCATGATAGGACCTAGAATGATCTGGATCATCGCATCAGTTCATCTCACTTACTCCATGGATAATACAGCAGTGACAAACACTACTGCAATGCAAGTGATTATCAAACATCAGACATGGTGAACTTGCAGATTCTCTTAAGATTCTGCCCCATATCTGGCTGCGTCAGTGGGTCGTAAAACCTCTCAGGTGTTCGCCGCTCTGGTCTCAGCTTAGCAGAAACCACCCTCCACCTACTGTCCCAGCCACCCCAGCATGAGGTACAGCGTGTCTCAATAACCTGCCACTCTGCCATCAGGAATGCAGCAGTGTGGTTCCACCCTGGACCACCTCTGTCCCTAATCCACTTTGGCCTCAACTTCCTCTTCAGGGAAAAGTCCCAACCTTCCTCTGACAACACGAGGGTGTGCACTGGATGATTTCAGCTTTGTCAAGTTAGCCGAAGAAGGAATGAGAGGCGCTCAGTGTCAGGCGGGGGACCATGGGTCTGGGCATAAATTCTGGGTCTGCCACGAAGTGGCCATGTCCACCGTGGACGAATGGCTCCCTTCTGTGGCCTCACTCTCTTCTCTGTAAAATGGGGATAATAATTGTGCCTACTTCGTGGAGTTGGGAGGATTAAATAAACTCATGTCTATAGGATACATTAGATAGTGGCTGGTACACTGTAAGAAGTATTAGCTCTTGTTTTTATCTGTAAAATGAGGGCCCCTGTGGTACTCCAGGATGTCTCAGCCTTCCTAAGGGAAAACCTGGACAACTCTAAGAGTGCCAATTTTTGTGTTTTCTATGCACCTCTGCCCCATCAAACTCTCCCCACATCCCATACAGATAAAGAGTTTGCACTAGTGGCTTAAAAGCGAAACAGGAAAGCGTACCCTGTGTCACATTATCCTGGGGAAAAAGCCGCCCAGAGGGCAACTCTATCTATCCATCTGATCCGAATGTAAGCTGTGGTTTTCTCCAGCCTCAGTTCCACTGACGGAATGGAAACTGGTTCTGGTCAGAGAGTGAGGAATGGCAGGAGGAGCTTCTGGGCTTGGGCAGGGCTCTGGGTCGGTCCCTAGGTCTCTCTGATCAGCCCCAGCCTCTAGCCCATTCAGACCCCGGAGTCAGGAACTTTCTGCCAATTGCCATCTCTGGATACCATAATAGTAATAATAATCTCATGAACTAACACAGTACATCACATCCATCAAAACATAAGTGCTTCTCCAACATCCTCTGTCCGCGTGCACAGCCCATTTTTACAATGAGAACACTGAGGCTGAGAAAGATTTATCACCTGAGGCAAAACACTTGGCATTTAAGCCCGGCTGCCTTGTTTAAACTGTTGATGATGTTTTTCCTGCATCCTCTGTGCATATCTCACAGTAAGCTGCTCGATTCCTTTGTGGAACAGAAGCAGCGTCCTGAGTTGACATTGACATCCTCCTGAAGAGTCAACAATATCCACAGCCTTAGTCCAATAACTATTAAAAAAAAAAAAAAAAAACCTTACTAATGAGCAAAAGGGATCATTGCAAATTGATTGCCCAGAGCTACGATCCACTGGATCCTAGAGAATGGATCCCCCCTGATGAGGCCAGAGTGGAAAGCTTAATTCTGAGCTGAACCTCCCTCTTGGCTGGAAATCCCAGCCCCAGGTGCTCCCACCTCACTAGCCCAGTCTGCAGTCTGTGATTAGGGGCCCTAATGGCCATAATACCTCCAATGTGGTGTTTAAACCAATAAGGCTTCAGAGAAGTTAGGGTATGTTTAATAATGGCTTAATGACTACTTGTGAGATGCAAGGCTTCTGGTTCCTGTTTGGCCTTGATTTACAGCCCAACTCTGGCTGAGGACAGCCAAGAAACCCCCTCTAAGCCCCCAGCGGAAGAGGGAGGTGTTCACACCAGGCCTCTTGGATTCCTTTAAAAATTGAGAATTCAAATGAAATACAAATGATGTTTGACTCCCCATCCCTCTAACTAGTCTCTGGAGGCACTAAAAATAAAAAGCAGTGTAACCCAGACTTGGGGACTCCTCAATCCACAGAAGGGAGCAGGTCCCAGGGCCCTCAGGAATTTCTTCCCGGATCTTAGGGTGGGGGTTGTTTCTCTTCTCAGAAATTCCAAGCCACCTCCCTAGTCCTATGCTTGCTTCCTTTTGGCTGGGGAGAGTCAACTCCTAGGAGATGCCACCCTACCCTCATCTCCCTCCAAAATGGCAGGCCTGGGGCAGCAGAGCCCTGAAGTCTGGGCTGCAGCCAGCCTCTCTCCAGTGGATCCCCATGCACTCCCAGATCGTTTGAAAGGTATTCACTCCACGCCTGCTGTTCAAACCCCAAACCCTCTATGTACCCCTCCACCTGCTCCAAAGACAGCCTCTGCCGAACCCTGCAAGTCTCCCTGAATCTTCTGGTTCTGCCTCTGCTTCTCAAACCCACCAGGAATACACAGAAAGGCTCCAAGGATTGCCGTGGTCCAGACTCCAGACTCAGATGAAGACAATGGTGACAGTTCAAGGTCCCACAGCTAATTAATGATAGTGCCCAGGCCCAAACTTCCCAGCCCCCATTCCCAGATTAGAGCTGTTTCCACACACCTCTTCCCAAGGACTCCTGTCCCAGTGAGGAACAAGGGATCCCCAAGGGAGGTGTTTCTGCAGAGGCAACGTTTTTCCAGCTCCCAGCAAAGAGTTAGGTAAAGGCCCAGCCCAGCCCCTCCCCCACCCCGCCCTTAGCCCAGGCTTATGTCGGGAGACCAGGCCTAAGAGCGTTTGTTGGGCGTGCCTCACGCCTCTAGGGGCGAGAACCTCCAGGCTGGATGTCAGGCCCAAGGCTGCTGCTCTGAGCAAGGGACTCACCAAGATGGGCAGACAAAAGGGACGCTGCCGTCGAGAGAAGGTGGCTTCCTCCCTCTGCTCGAACTGCCTCTGATACGCGGCCTGGGGTGAATCAGGGGGCTCCCGGGCTCCGAGGGGTTAACCCGCGCGGGGCCGCACGTGACGTGGATGGTTCCAGCATTAAGTCAGAGGCGCGGCCCCCTCCCCTGTCCCCCGCCCCCCGCGGCGCGCGCCGCTCCCGGGGGCTCCGCGCCCCCGCGCCCAGGTCCCTCCCCCTTGGCGGGCGCTCACAGGCCGCACGGGCAGCTCGAGCCCCGGAGCCCCGGCGGCCTGTGCGCCGGGAGCCGGCATGGACCCCAAGCGCTGCGCGCCTTTCGGCGTGGGGCCCGGGCCCGGCCCCTACGCGGCCGCGGCGGACGAGCCGCCCGGCCCCCAGGGGACCCCCGCTGGCGCGCCTCACCTGCACCCCGCGCCGCCCCGCGGCCCCCGCCTGACCCGTTTTCCGGCCTGCGGGCCCTTGGAGCCCTACCTCCCAGAGCCGGCCAAGCCGCCCGCCAAGTACCTGCAGGACCTCGGGCCCGGCCCGGCGCTCAACGGCAGCCACTTCTACGAGGGCCCCGCGGAAGGTAACGCGCGGCGCGGGCGTAGCGCGCAGCCCCGACCCGCTCTCCTTCTCTTCCCCGGCCCGCCCGGGCCTCCCTGCTTCCCTCGCCCGCTCGCCCAGCTCGCCACTTTTAGACCCTCTAGCCCCTCGCCACGGCTCCCTCAGAAGCCCCACCGGCGCTGGCCCAGGCCGGCAAAGCCAGCGCCCCGCGGGAGGCAGAGCCCTCCGTGCCTCCCGTGGCGGGAACGGGAGGCGGGAGGTCGCGCGAGGGTGGAGCGGCGACGGCCCCGGGCCCAGGGAAGCCCGAAGGCGACCGGAGGCGGGAAGGAGAAATCATGTTTGGCCGGAGTTGGCCTGAAAATGCCACTGACCCAGAAGCCCGGACCGGGCCCAGGGCCCCGGGCGCCACGCGGAGCCCTCGGTCCCGATGCGGGGAGAGAAGCGCGGCTTTTGTGTGTGGCGCCCGTTCGGGACCCTGAGCTTGGGCCCCGACCTAGAGTGGCCCAGCAGGACTCAGCCGAGGGCTGCGGCCTGGCCTCCGCCGGCTTCTCCACCCCCCCCCCCCCCCCCCCCCCCCCCCCCCCCCAAGGCCCAGCCTCCGCGGGGAAGGCGCTGCCGGCGCGTCAGGCATTCGGCGGCGCGGCCGCGGCCGGTCCCGCAGTACCGGGGCCGTTCTCAATACGGAATAACTGTGTTCTTATTTCTCAGACTAACCTGGCCTCCCCGTCGTTATGCACGGTGATGGCCGCCCTTCTCGCAGTCTTGGCTTCCTCGCACTGGATCGTCTCGGCTGGGGCCGTCGAGAGCAGCCCCGGCGGGCCTATCCCCTGGGCGCCTCGAGCTCCTGGGCCGGTGCCCCGTGCGCCAAGGCCAGTTGGACCCTGCCATCTCCGGAGAACGCGCCTGAACGCCGGGGCCTGCCACACGGGCCCGCAGCCGCGCCGCTGCCCACTGCACCGGCTGACCTGCAGGAGGCGGCGCCCGCCCCATCTGCGCTGCCACATCCCGCACCTTAGGCCCAGGGCTGGATCCTCAGAGATCGGCCCCAACCCGCCTCCACCCACTGGCGCCTCGCCGGCCTCCACCGAGTGGCCAGGCAGCTCGGGCCTTCGCCCAGCCCGGGCGGTGGGAATGTGTCGGGCAGGGCGGGGAGGTGTGGTGGGGGTCAGCGGAGGAAATGAGCGAGTCCGCGGAGCTTCGTGTCTGTGCCCTTTGAAAGAGGCTCTCCTGATAAAAACCACAGTTGGGATTTAATGAAAAGCAGTTGGCCTGGCTCCTCTGATCCCCGCCAGACGGCGGCGGCCGCGCAGCGCCATGAGCACCGCTGGGGACAGGTACCCGGGCTGGCTGGGCGCGCCGCGTCGGGCGGGACCCACACCTCCGGCCCGCGTCCTGCTGGGCAGGCGGGATGCCGCAGGCACCGCGAGGACGCCAGGACTGGCACGCTGCGGAGAGCGCTGGGGCAGAACGAGCAGCGGGGCGCGGAGGGACCCGGCGACGGCGAGGGTGTCAGCAACGAAATGCGTAAAAGTAAAACCAAAGAGTGTTAACCACCAAAAAGAAGGAAAAGGAAAATGAACAAAACAACGGAGGAGAGAGACGAGGAGAGGTAGACGCAAGTCGGCAAGCCGGGCAGAACGTCAATAAATAAACGGAGAACGAACAGAAGAACAAGAAAAAAAGCAAGCGCAGGATCAAACGATCGAACGAAGCGGGTAAATGGAGAAGGAGGGAAAGGACGAAGAGAGTAGAAGCAGGAAAAAAAAATGAAAGGAAAAAAGGGACATTCTAACAGAGCAGAAAGCAGCAAAATCAAGTGGGAGAGGAAAATTAACGATTCCAGTTGAGCGGAGGACCGGCCAAACGAAAAACAAGCAGCAGCGGGTGCGAGCGGAACCTGGGACCCCGGCCGCCGCTCGCCTCGCGGATGCCAGGGCCGCAGCCCGGCGGGCGCGGGCCGCTTGCGACCCTGCGGCGGAGCGGGGCTGCTTGGGGAGGAACGGCCCCGGGGGACTCGGGCCACGCAGTCTACGAGGTGGGAAGTGGCGGCAAAGGGGGAACCCGCCTTATTTCCCGGCTTCTAACTTGACGGGCTCCGAGCGTTTCCAGTTCAAACCAGTGAGCGCGCAGCTGCGCCCCATCTGCGGCGCGATCTCGCCGACGCCGGGCAGTCCCGCTCTGGAGGGCCTGGCGCGCCTCTCCCGCTCTTTGCGGCGCCCTTGGCCGAGAGCGCACCCAGCCCTGCCCTGGACCCCGGCCGCGTCCTGGCGGTGCAGCGCGGCTGCTCAGAGGGCCGGAGAAGTGCCGGGCCGGTCCTTCCCGCTCCGCTCCGCCGCGGGCCGCCCGGTCCGCTCCCTGGCTTGGCTCTCGGACCCGGGAACGCGCCCGCCGCCTCGGAGGCCCAGAGCGGAGCATCCCGAAGGCCGCGCTCACCGGACCGACCGCAGACCTCGTGAAGGATTCCAAGTCAGGGCCCTCCCCGCCCTCCTCTCCCTTACCTCTCTCCCCGCCCCGCCGGCTGAGGCGTCTAGGGCAAAGCTGGAAACTCTAGGGAGAGCACCAAGGCCCCGCCGGGGTCCCGCGCACGGCGTTTATGCACACGACGGCTTCAGCCGGAGCTTCGAGAGCCCAGGCCTCTGCGAGCTCTGCGCATCGCGTGGGAAACCGCGCGGAGGCCGAAAGCCGGGTGGTGGGCCCGGCGGCCTCAGTGGACGCTAGCTGAGAGGGCAGTGGGTCTCCCGGTTGGCGTCCGGAGCCAGCGGTACGGCTCCTGAGCCGCTAGCG